GGATATTTTGCCAGCCCCACTTGGTTTTGCCAATTTATGACAAGACTATCCTTATTATAAACATAGTATTTGTGGGTGGTTGGCAGGTGCTCTGGTGTGGTTTGCTTCTGAACTTCTTTCCTATCAAACATCTATGATCCTTGATCTCTCCTCCTCCTTTATGATGACCTTATTGTGTTGCAAGTGCCGTAAAACTCTTATTAAAACTAAAAACATAGTATTTAAGCCTTTACACCCCCCTGCCATCCGCCAACTGTCTCATTTATTAAACGATCCATATTAAACTACTGTAAATTTACCCTGTTGTACCGCCAACAAACTGGCCGCAAAATATTTTCTAAATTTAAAAGGTTTAGTGCAAGTTACGTACAGCACCCTCTATCACCTGAGAGTGAGATGTAAGTCTAGACTCAGACTAATTTCTTTTTAAAAAAATCAAACTGCCTAATCTTAAGGCTTACCACGGATGCTGCCCTGAAGCCGAAAGGTCTGTTCAGTTCCGCAAGGCTTTAATTTAATTTTGTGAAGTTATGATGTTCATCTGATTATAGTAGCTGAAGGAGAAATAGATGTTTTTGCGCTCTGTTGAAAATAGGGGACTTCCCCCAACTGATTTTCAATCGAGAAACAAAATGGCCACCCTTACTTTCGATATTTATCTTTGTCAAGATAACAACAAATAACAAAACAACGACAAATATCAACCCAAACTTCCTAATTTAGTTGCTTTTTTACTTAATTGAATAAGTATTTTTTCCTGTAGAAAGTGAAATGTAAATGTATGATTTATATATCTCTTTAACAGGTGAATCTGTGTCACCCATACTATGTAACTTTGTTCCGCAATTTGTATCAATTTTGTTTTTAACTTAATATTTATATTTTTCCTCAACATTTGAGGCAAGATTTTTAAAAACTTTGCTTCATAAATTTATATAAAATACTATAGATCTAAACCTGTGCCACTTGGAAGATGGAACTAGTTCACAGCTCTTCCCGCGATCATACACACATTGTATACGTATAAATTATGGCCAACATCACAGCTTTCCAATGGCAAAACTTTTTATAAGAAATTAATTTTATAGTGAACACATTTTTTGCAGAACAAGTGCAGCAGAATAAGCATATAATGTCACGATTAGAAAAAGATGACAGACTAGCTTTTAAAAGCAATATTGCCCCAGCTATAAACCTTTTAGAATCTGTAAAAACCACCCACTTGATATTTCAATTAATGGGAGGCAGCATTGTGGAATCAGGCTCTCGTCAAAATAATCAAAGTGAAGAAACTTGCATTTTTTCGCAGGTTTGTGAATTTTTAAAAATTTTTGTTTTTTGGCTCAACACCTTTCATGCCCTTTAAAGAACTCATTTCTGAGTGGATTTTTCTGAAAAGCGTTGATTAAAAGCACAAAGAATGTAAATTTTCAGTTACCACGGACTCTTAACTAAGGAAAACTAATCTTTGGCGGCCATTTTCTCTCTAATTTTACTTCTGAAAACAGGTGACCCCCACCTCCTTCTTTCGCTAATATCTCGACTTGTATTCAAGATAAATGGATATTTTTTTCATCCAAATAAAGACAAGTGAACAAGCTTTAAGATAATACCAATAACTCTACATGCCCAAAAATTGATGAGAGCCTGATTCCACCACGCTGCCTCACATATATTATTTTAGGAATTTTCTAGAATACAAGTAACAGGTGTGTGTACAAAAATATTGATCTGTTAAGAAAAACTATTGATACAAGTCATTGTGCAAAAGTTGGAGAGTCTATGTTTGGTATTAAGGTAAATTTGACAATAAGTTGCACTACGAATGTTTGGCCGTACTATAATAGTACGAGCATTTAATGTTCACATATATTATATATACTTACATACCCAGTAATGTATTTCTTCCCAACAGTTTTGACTGAATTTCTTTTCCTGATTTACATTACAGGGTGGATTTTGACAAGATAGACGGGACAAGCATTGGTGGGGATGCTGCCTCTTCGGACACTGCAACACACAAAATGACTACTGGAGTGCAATTTGGAAACCAATAGGTAAGTTCTCTCATAGTACTTGTAGGTATTGCTGTAGATTAGATATTATTTTCAGCACTTCAAAATATTTGATTTCACCCTATAATTAGCTTTTTTTTTAGCATTTCAAAATATTTGATTTCACCCTATCATGCAAATAATTGTAGATCTCAAAGCATATTTGCAGAGAAGAGGAAGCTGGGATTGACTTTCAAATCTTTATCGGTGGTTTCTAAGACTGAAAAAAAATGTTGGTGTTTTTTACTCACAGCATGTTAGGGAATGAGATACAATCTGTGCTAGATTTCCAGTGTACAGTTTTAGAATATATTGGTATAAAAGTAATTCTTCACATTAATCACGTCATTGTCATTATTTCACAACTTATTTTTACTCAGAACTTTTAGCCCTAAGATGCTTGATAAAGGTTACAGTTGCAGAAAAATTAGTTTTAAATATTTCTATCTAGAAATTGTAATACCCCTCATTGTTTCAGAATTAAAATTTAAATGTTCCATATCATGTAATTTTGATCCACAGAAGCAAAAACTTACAATGGCCAGTGTGCTTCAGAATTTATTTAAACTTTTTTGTTTATGAATTTAATCCACAGATGCAGAAATGTACAGTGGTCTGTGTGCCACAATGATTCATCTTGGAAAAGGGAGGAAGCCAGACCCTCTGGATGTTCCTGCTACCAACAAGATTTTCTTAATGCGTCACTTAGTTGGAGAACAAGGGAAAATGAAAAGGAGTGGTTTCAGAAACTTTTTTCAAAACTCATCTTTGACACCATTTGTGTGGTCAGGAAGTGTGAATGTGGTGCAGAAAACACTGACTCTGGAAAGTGACATTCTGTGTGGATTTTTGCTGAGGCCACTGAAAGTGAACTGTGTCTTTTTTCCTGGATGCTTGTGGCATTGACTGAACAATGAATATTTTTAACCCCTTGTACTTGTTTAATTAAGTTGGAAATGAAAGCTTGACTTACGAAAATATTATAGATCTCATTCATTATTTGTCCAAAGAGAGGCAGATAGATAATGAGGTTAGTTTTTTGTACCTGTGTGGGGCAAATTAATTTGCAATGTCTGCATCATAGTTGCAAAACTCAGATCTTTTGTTTATTGAATACAACCATAATTTGCTAAAGGACACAAAAAAGAAAAATAGTACAACTCCAACTGTTCAGGAGTTTTTATCAAAGAAAATTTTTATGAACACAAACACAATTGACGAACAGGCCGCTACTTCGAAACATAACTAACAACCCCCCTGATATTGTTAACGCAAATATTAAGACATGTCCAAAGCTGGTAATCGAATGCACTGAATGCTGCCAGATAAAATAAAATCTTTAGAAAGTCTCCTCAGTAGGATGGAGCAGGTACATGCTTTTCTCCAGAATGAAAAAGGAAAAATTGAGCTGCGGATGGTGAAATGAAAGAACAAGAAGAATGAATGAAAATCAGATAGGAGTTATATCAAGCTGTCACAGAAAATGAAAGAAAAAAGCAAATGCAAAGCCAAATGAGAGGACTTACTTATGCTTGCATTTTGAAAATAAAAAAATAGATTTTTTAAATTTAACAGATTTTTAAAATTTAAATAGGATTTTTTGGATTTAAAAAAATGTTGACACAGTTTGGGATTTTTAGTGGCTAAAAGTATGTTCTTTTAGTGCAATATGCATTGTATTTATTTTAACTGATGATTAATTTAAGCAACTGCAAAAGAAAGCCTTAATCTGCTATACACTATATCAGTGAATTATTCATGGCTACAGACAAAAAATGAAGAAAATGTCAGTGTAGTCTAAAAAAAGGAGGGGGGGGGGGGGGGGGGGGGGCCGTGTAATTGTGCATAAATAAACTTGCATTTTATTACAGTGTGTGTTTGTGCGCGCTGGTGTTTGAGTTTGTCCAAAAAGAAAAAGAAATGCTAATTTCAATTATCAAAAAAAAGTAAATTGAATACTGTGTTGTGTTTCTTTTCAATACCTTCAACCCCAAACAACTCAATGGGTAATTTCAACATGAATCTAAATTGTTGGTTATTGTAATACTGTTAATATTGTATGAAAGTGATCTACTTTCAAAATTCCTTCAGTTGCTATTTTGTTCCCTGCAATATATATCTGAATTATTATTTTTGTTACATTGTTTGTGATTTATTTGTTAATGTTTTTATTCTCCTCAGTCACACTTGATTTGATCTGACATTCAATAAATTATTAAGTTTACAGTTAATAAATCTAGACTTCACTAAAAAATTTTAAAACAGTCCAATGCTTGCAAGCAATGTGTCTGTTGGTTTTAAATGTAAACATTGAGCAAACATAAAAAACATGTTCAATGATTTACCATGCAGTTCTATAAACACAATTTTGTCACTTCTGTCCATCTTCCTCCTTTTCTGGGGTTTTCATTTGTGAGATGGAGTTTCACAAGAGAGGGCTAGAGGGGTTTACATTACACAACATAATTGTATATATAGAGTTTCATCTTAATCTTGCATTTTCATAATTTGTAATCATTCCTTCTTCATGCCTGTGTCCGAAATTGTTGATCAACCATAACGAATGTGAATTTGTGCCCTAAAGTGAATTTATTCAAAACTGACATAGAGTCAAATAATCTCAGGGAAAGGGGGGCTGTCCAGT